AAAACCCATAGTCTTGGTAAGATGGTTGTGAATAATAAAACACACTTTAGCCAAGTGATTTAAGGTGTTTAATTACCTATGCAAGGTTGTGGGTTCAAACCACGCAGCTATCATGGATTTTGATTTTTTTATTTGGGTTATTATCATATAGATTTTTTGTTTATAAGCTTTTTATGGTTTTTTTTGGGCTTATTGTTTTAAAAATCAAAATAGTTGGATAAACCCTAAATCTTAACAAGTTCAAACCAAAAATAGTTAAAATTGGATCCAAAAACAAACAGTAAAAAACAAAAAAAACAAGTCCCACCCGATTGCCTACGCGGATGGCTTAAAGAGCCTTAAAACTATCATATAATATAGCTTAACCCAAAAATAATAAAAAATGAATCCAAAAATGAACAGACCAAAAAAAAAGTGAGTCTCACGCGGCTGCCTACGTGGATGGCTTAATAAGACTTAAATAATATAGCTTAAGAGCTCAAAAAGTTAAATCATTGCACATATTTTCTAATATATATTTTCAAAAAATTTGTATGTGAGATAAAATAAAAAAACAACAACATTTAATTATTTTTCCTTATTTATTAAATGAATATGTAATTTCTCTTACATTTTAATAACTACTATAATTTCAATAAAAACATTCCTCACCGATTCCAGACTCCAGCGAATGGATTCCCACAGTCGATGACGCCGTAGATAAAAATGCCACATCATTTATGAACAAAACTCAAACTTACAAAAAATCATATATAAAAACCTATCTAATGAAACTTAAACAACGAATATTAACTTAATTAAGGTTATTTTCAAATTGATAAATCGTTTAATATAAATATAGAATTATATCAAGTTTGACCTACGATACAAAAACTATTTACAGCAAAAAAAAACAGCTACTTTTACACACTAAAAATTATATGTAGCCTAACTATTCCTATAAACCTTACTTCGCATATAAATAACATTTAACACATTCCTAATATATTTTCAAAAAAATTGTATGTGAAATAAAATAAAATAAACAACAAAATTTAAGTATTTTTTGTTATTTATTAAATGAATATGTAATTTCTCTTGCATTTTAATAACTACTATAATTTCATTGAAAAAATTTCTCACCACCGACTCCAGATTCCGGCGAATGGATTTCCATAGTCGATCATGCCGTAGATAAAAATGCCAGATCATTTATGAATAAAACCCAAACTTACAAAAAATCATATATAAAAACCTATCTATTGAAACTCAAACAACAAATATTAACTTAATAAAGTTATTTCAAATTTATAAATTGTTTAATACAAATATAAATACTATAAATATAGAATTATATTAAGTTTTGACCTAGGATATAAAAACTATTTACAGCAAAAAAAAAAAAAAATAGACACCTACTTTTACACACTAAAAACTATATTATAGCCTAACTATTCTTATAAACCTTACTTCGCTTATAAATAACATTTAATACATTATATACAATATTTTCACTTTACACTCTTAATACATTCTTTCCATTTCATTATTATTTGGTGTCATTAGAAGAATCCACTAAACCAACAATCGAAAAAATACACGTAAATACAATGATCCCGGCCCCCGCGCTTGCGTGGGAATTATGTAACTAGTAATAATTAATAGTCTACTTTCGCCTCCGGCCTCCTGACTCTTAACGTTTTCCCACTTTGCTTATGCTTGTTCTGTTTTAATTTTCTCCTTGTTGTAATAAATGGTCTCCCACAATTGTTGTAAAAGAAAAACTTTGGTATGAAATTTAACATTTTCACCAAAAAATAACTCAGAATGAAACATATGAAACACACAGAAAACTATAAACAAAAAGTAGCAGACTTCATGTTTTAAAGTCTGATAAAAATAGTTTTTATTACTTTGAAACTCCGGTAAATAAGTTGACAAAAAGAAATAGTAAAATCAAAAGAAAGAAATAGTAATGTGGCAACTTGAAAAAATGGAAAGATGACGTGGTAGCACTGAAAAGAGCGTGATCTTTTCTATTAGCATATAAAGCAAACAAAAATATAATAAAAACAAAATCGAATGAAATACGCATATATAGTCCGTTATAAGTTATAACTAATAACGCATAATCTTATTGCTTTTACTAAGATTAAAAATAATATAATATGAAGAAAAAAATAACATCAAATTACCACCATTGTTTATCTATGTGTAATGTTTCACCAACAAAAACTCTGTTACGCATTTTCGCCTGGTAAACAATCACCGGCAACAGCTCTAAGACATTGGCAGATATGTTAATCTTCCTCATGTGCATGTGATTTCACTGATTCCTTTTGTTCCCAGTTTATACAGTTGCAACTAAGAAAGCGTCGTGTTATGTTCTTCGAAACCATTTCTTTGAAGCATTTCTTCTTTGCGTGATAGCTGCATAATAGTCCCGTCTATTTTTATCCACCAAAATACATTATTAGTTTGTAGAAGAAGAAAAATTAGTTTTTCAACGATGTTAAATAAAGTCATGCTCTAGAACTCTTCTCGTAACGTTCCAACCGTTCACGGTTAATGGACTATCCACGTCGTTCACTCAGCCCATGGATCTTATTCCATTCCAATGGTCTATCCGTTAATTTTCTAAATCTCTAGAGTCATGTTTACTGACCATGTAATCACCACATGACTTTTTTCGGTACTTTGGCTTCACTTACACGGTATCGCAAATCACTTCATGATAGGTCACCTATCTTTTGACTATTCCAGTTCAAACACGCTTAACTCTGGAGTTCTTTCTGGATGTGCTCCGAAAATGTAAGTGGATTTTGGTGACATAGATAGTCAAATTAATCCTCTTAAACTTTTCCATATATCACAACTCGGAATGTTACAATTCACCCCCTCTTAAAGAACCCAACGTCCTCGTTGCGCCACGACAGGTCTCAAGACGTCTCTCAGATCAGAACTGAGATGACAAACCAGCTCTGATACCACTTGTAACGCCCCGACCGCCTACAGTTAATGGGCCACCCACGCCCGCTCACTCGGCCCGTGGGCTCATTTTGTTTCAGCGGCACGTCCGTTAATTTTTCAAAGTTCTAGGTTCTTGTTTACTGACGCTGCAATCACCACATGACCTTTCTTTTGTGCTTTGGCCTCACTTATATGGTATCGCAAATCACTTTCCGATAGGTCACTCATCTTTTGACTACTCCAACTGAAGTACGTTTAACTCTAGAGTTCTCTCAGGATGTGTTCCAAAAAGTAAGTGTACTTTGATAACATAGATAACCAAATCAATCCTCTTAAATCTTTTCATATGTCACAACTCGGGATGTTACACTTTTTTTCTTTTTTTTTCAAACATCATTTTTGTTGATGTTAACGATTAAATTAAAATGAATAATGTAATTACCTTTACCATGACTCAGAACGAAACATATGAAAACACAAGATACTATAACCAAAGTAGTACCCTTCATGATTCAAAATATGATAAAGATTTATGACTTGGAAAAACGTTTTCACAGTCTTGCTCAAGTAATAAATGTAGAACTTTTGGTTGTCAATACTCGTGATATATTTTAAGCACACATCTAACCCACTGTTCTTATTTATATAAACACAGAGTAAAAACCATTGTTCCGAGTTGGTTTGAGAGAAATAAACATAAGGACTGAGTCAAGTTAACTGGATCGGCAGAATCGGTATTCAAATTTTAGAAACATTATTCTCAGTAAAGTTTACTTTTCATTATTTCGGGGTTTTGTTTGAGTTTGTTTATTATTATACTATAGAGTGGTCTCTTTTTTCATTATTTCGGGGTTTTGCTTGAGTTTGTTTATTGTTATCCTATCAGTGGTTTCTTTTTCATTATTTTGTTTTTTTATTATATAAACTATTTCATCGTGATCCTATTACTTAAACTTAAAATCTTGATTCATCGATAACAATACAAAATTTCTAATAGTGACCACCACAACAACAAATCGTAATTACGATATATTATCGTGATTCTGTAATTACGCCGCAAACTATTATTACCTTGAGATATTTAAGTGATGGTTTAGTCTCGGTACAATTGTAAATACAGTAATCTCGGTTTAGATGTCACAAATCAAACTGGATTCAGATATGCATGTATATGAGCGATGATCAAGCCACAAATCAAACATGGATACTCAAGTTTAGCTTCTTCACACATTTTTAACGTACCAACACATCAATGATGACAAAAAAAAAAATCCCAATACATCTAATACAATAAACAGTCCGTAATCTTCAATATTTCGCATCTGAACATATGAATGCATGTATACAGAAGAATGCATTTCAATTTGCACAAAATTTTAAATTCCATTCATGCATTGGTTTTGAATAAACAACACATATATATTCGAATATATAGTTATTATGTCAACATTCGTACGTAAAAAATAGTAGTTCAAATATTGACGTCATAATTTCTAATTTTTTCATATATCAAAAACTTTACTGAAGGACTGGTTACACCTTTTTAAATAAGCCTATAGAAATCTTTGAGAGAAAAAAAAGCCTACAGAAAGCAAACTTTGTAGCATGCATGAGTAAAACTTAAAAACAATGACAAGATCGTGGTATCTAATGAAAAAAAGTTTCAGGAATCACAATCAATGGTACTCAAAACCGTACGAAGATGACAGCAGCATCAAGAATCCAAGATTGCAAATATATATATATATATACATATATCTTTAATTACGTGGATAATGAAACAAAGATTATAACCAACAACAACAACAACAAAAGCGCTTAGAAGCCGCAAATCTTTTGTCCAAAACGTGGTTCAGCTAATTTGTTACAGAAATTTCAGTTTGTTCTGCGATAAATATTACTCTCTTACCAATTCATTACATTTTCCAAATTAACGAAGACAATTTTCACTCAATAAATTTTTATTCATGATAATCTAATTTCAACAAGAAATGAGAAAATAATCCCCACCCTCCCCCCACCAAAAATATTATTACAACATCGTAAATAATCAGCAGAATAGAGAGAAAATTTTTAGGAACAGATTTGATTAATTAGGTGAGAACTCAATCATCTTCTTTTGGTGATTCAAGTTCTTGTAAAACTTCTTTATAAACTCATCCGCCGCTTTGTCCACGTGTCCGTTAGCCACGTCACCGTCCTCCCGTAACGGGAAAGGTGAGTCCGTCACACGTAAAGGTCTCACTGACGGAGACCTCCATCCAAATCCGTGCAAGTAAGGAGACAACGCCGTCAAAACCGGCGTGTTACCGCCGTTTTCTTGATTACCTCCGCCGCTGAGAAGCTCAAGCACGGCTCTGGAGGCGGAGGTGTCATCGTCGAGGGTCGGTGGCGTGTGCCCACAAGCGAAGAGACTAATGTTGTGACTCTTCTTCTTCTTGAATGCGGACATGTTAAAGGGAAATGAGTAGTTTGGAGTGTCGCTGCAGCTGAACTCGTATTCTTTCGGCGGCTGTGACGCGGCGGTGGAGGCGGTAGAGGAGGATGGGACGCGGCGGCGGTTGTGGAAGATGAGATTCTTGCCGCGTTTGAGAGTGGCGTTAAAGTCGGCGAGGAGCTTTTGCTTTGAGATACCTTTGCGTAACATGTACATGACAAAACGTACAATGTTCCATAGCTTTTTGCTTAATGGTACGTTCTTCTCCATCTCTATAGTTAGAGCTAGAGAGAATGAGATTATTATTATTTTTGTTGGCTTTGATGTTTGCTTATGGAGTAAGGATCAATGTGTGTGGGTTTTAATTTAAAGGGGAAAGATAGAGAGGAAGTGAGACTTTTCTACAAGTACTTCAACGTGGAACACTACACAAACATTTTTAATTATGTTGTTTTATAACTTTAGATTTTAAAAAACCCAAATAATGGAAAAAGAAGACGAAAATTTGGATTTTTAATCAACTTTTGTTGTACTTTAGATTGCACTATGTAATATAGCCATCTATATGTGGATATTAGGTCTTGCTTTCCAATATAAAATACAAAAGTAAACTAGTGGGGGTGTATAATGACTTGGCCTTCTACTATGATGGTATATACGCTTTACAAAACTGCTCACCTTTTATTTTTAAAGTGCTAAAGTTTTGAAGGAAGTGAACAAAACTCTATATTATATTGCCACAGTAGGTAAACCTTTTGGTCTTTATACTTCATTTCTAGTTCCTCTTAAAAGTTTAAATCCTTCACCAGATAGTTACCACTGGTGTAGTGAATACCATAAAGTTTAGGCAAAAGAAATAAAAAACAAGTGCAATTGAAAAGGAGGTGCAAGTTTCAAAGGAAGACAAATTCAACAACCTAACTTCATGCAAATCTCTTCAAGTACCCCTTGTTGTATTTTAACCCATCCCAAATTCAAAATTTAAAGGAAGGTTAGTAACCACACAAAAGCGTAGTCGAGTGGTAAGACGTATGGATTCAAAATTTACCATCAGATTTACCTGCTTGTGTAGTCATACAACATGAGTATCTAATTTTTGTTACGGACAACAGTATTTGTCTAGTGCCCATAGACATATCCAAGAAAACTAGTCGGTTAGACCGGATTATAGAGAAAAAAGGAAAGGAATATTATTTTTCATCTTTAAATAAATCGTATTCAGAACAAAAATGAATTTTAAAATTAACATATTAAACTTTAAGTTTTTTTTTATAGCTTTTGAATAAAATCAGATAAATACCTATACACATCAAAGAAAAAAATAAATAATAATTATATGTATCATAATCGAAAATAACAAATTTATTTTCTTAATTTATAAACTAAAATTTTAAAAAGCCTACAATTGAAAATTGTACTCGTGCATTCTTTTTTTTTTTGTCTACATAATTGTGCATTCTTAATCATGATAATAAGACTTGACCAAAAAAAAATCATGATAATAAGACAATGTCCAAACGAAATCATAATAATCGCTACCCATCATATGTATACTTGTCCACGTAGAAGCTATATCGGAAAACCCCCGGTTTAATGTGGTTGACCAATTAACTAAACCGTCTCATATACACATGGATAAGAAAGAGATAGAGGCACCACACACTTCCACAGAAACTCAAGAATTGATATAAAACATTATCCTAATTTAAAAGTCTCAACTCTTTTTTGTTCGTTTGATACATTTTTTTTTTAAGAGAGCAAGACTATGGGAAGTGTACAGTTGAATGGTTCTGGCTTAGTAGCTTCTCTATCTCCAAGTCATCATATCTTTAGCCCCAAAATAAAACTTAGTAACCCCAAGTCGTCCTTCTTACCCTCAAAACACAATGCCACCAGAGCCAACACTATCCGAGCCATAAGCACCGCACCAGCGAGCCAGCCTCCAGCCGCAGATGAGCCAAATGACGAACCTCCTGCTGTCGATTTTGCGTTCGTCCATGTAAGTAATGATTTTCACTCTTGACGAACTATTTATAATAATATTGTTATATGTATTGTTAAAAGATGTTATGAGGTGGATTGTTTGAATGGATGGTTAATTTATAGTTGAAATTTTAATAATTGTGCTACTATAATTTAATCTTTCAGTCGGTGTTGTTACCGGACGGGACACCGGACGTGCATTGGAGAAGAGCGTGCGGTGGACAGAAACTTAGAGACATAATGTTGGATTCTAACATCGAACTTTATGGTCCTTACGTATGATTTTATTTCCCTCGATTTGTTTTNGGATGGTTAATTTATAGTTGAAATTTTAATAATTGTGCTACTATAATTTAATCTTTCAGTCGGTGTTGTTACCGGACGGGACACCGGACGTGCATTGGAGAAGAGCGTGCGGTGGACAGAAACTTAGAGACATAATGTTGGATTCTAACATCGAACTTTATGGTCCTTACGTATGATTTTATTTCCCTCGATTTGTTTTTTTTTTTGTCTTAATCAAAATAATCTGGAGTATCGTTACATATGTCATTAACGTCGCAGAGTAAGCCCTTGTCAAACTGCGCAGGAGTAGGAACCTGCGCTACTTGTATGGTCGAGGTATACATATCTTATAGTAGTATTTTTTTTAATAAATAATTAATAAGCTTATACAAAATTTTGGTTTCTTCATTAATTTAAATTCTAGGGATGGTTTATCAGGTAAATTAGTTTATTTCTTGATCATGGAACAATGATGGATGTTCTTTGCAGATTGTAAATGGAAAGGAGCATCTCAATCCACGAACTGACATTGAAAAGGAGAAACTCAAAAGGGTATATTCTTATTTAATAGTCTTGTAGTATCATTTGGTCACAGACTCGCAGTATAAAATGAAAAAGCAATGTTTTCACAGAAGCCAAAAAATTGGAGATTAGCTTGTCAAACCAACGTGGGAAATCCAGATTCAACCGGATTGGTAATAATATATATAACCTGTTTCTTTCTCTAATATCTATTATATAGTATATTAATCGTCCTACACATGTGACTAATTTATATTTAACTACTTGTTGAATAGGTTGTCATACAACAATTGCCAGAGTGGAAAGCTCATGAATGGAATATCCCTAAGAACTTACCTATTGATGATCCCGAAACTTCTATTTGAAACGATCCATTTGTTATTGTCTATATCATGTAACTATAACGATGGAGTTTTTAATCTATATCGATATTTAACCCTACGGGCAGCTATTTAGAAACAACTAATTAATGATGATTTAGTGTTACAAAAACAGATCATTAATTAATAACCAAACAGGCTTACATTAAATGATTTGATACAACGAAACCGAACCAAACAAAGCAACATATCGAGAGACGAAGAAATCAAACAAGAATCATTACATTTTCTGCTTAGAATTCAGAGGCAAGAGGAACATGTTCTGAAGAAGGCATGAAGACATTTCCGTAAACAAGTCCAGCTAGTCCACCACCAATGAGTGGTCCCACCCAGTAGACCCAGTGACCAGAGAAGTCTCCAGCTGCAACAGCTGGTCCAAAGGAACGTGCTGGGTTCATGGATCCACCGGAGAATGGACCAGCGGCGAGGATGTTGGCACCAACGATGAGACCAATGGCGAGAGGAGCGATGGTTCCGAGAGAACCTTTCTTGGGATCAGCGGCTGTGGCGTAGACGGTGTAAACCAAAGCGAAGGTGATGATGATCTCCATCACTACTCCTTCAATGGCTCCTACTCCAGCTGCAACGCTGTGTGTTGGAACCGCCTGCGTTTTCACATAGTTTAAGCGTTTGTTTCATTAGTTTATAATAATTAAACAGCCTCAAGAATTGTATATTAGTGGAAAGAAACCTAAAACCCCTCAAATTATGTTCATTTGAATTAGACAAATTAAAAATTTACAATATTCTACAACTTCAAGTTTTAAACAAGTCATGTGTATAATATAATAAATGGACAAAAAAACAATTGAGAGAATTATTTTATTTTCTAAACTTGCAAACGTTTGTCTTATGTTGTATAACCTACAAATACACAATTGTTTTTGTCTCCTAATTAAAGGTTTATTTTGCGTAAAATCACAAGTAGAGATACATTTGTTTTTTTTTTTTGTAGGCTTTACTAGTCAAAACAATACAAACTGTGATTTTATTATACTAATAAGGACGTTGTGATGAGGACATACCAAGCCACCGGTGACGAACTTAAGAAGGAAGCAAGCGGCAGTGGAGCCAAGAAGCTGAGCGATCCAGTAGAAAACTCCGGTGATGAGTGTGATTTGACCACCGAGAGCAAGGCCAAAAGTGACGGCTGGGTTCACATGGCCCCCGGAGATGTTGGCTCCGATTGCAACCGCCACGAAGAGGGCGAAGCCATGGCACACAGCAATGGCGACTAGCCCCGGCGTATCAAGAGCCGCATCCGACGTCAACTTCGCTATATACACAAATGTGACACATTCATTAAGTATAATGGACAAACTCATTGTTACAGATTATGAAATATTATTTAGTTACGAACCGTAGGCAATGGCTGAGCCAACACCAGCGAAGACAAATAGCAAAGTGGAGATGAACTCAGCAAGGTAAGCTCTTAGAGAAGCCAAGCTGAAAGAATCATCAAAAGAACCAAAGGCAACTCCTGCCATCGCTTTAGATGAAGGATGAAGAAGACGTTGGAGGGTTTTTTTGTTGCTTAATGAAGAGGATGATAAGACCTTTTGGATGCCATTATCTATTTATATAGGAGTCTCGACATTTATTCATACACAATATATATTTTAAAACTAATCTTTTTAGTTATTTTATTTTGTGGTGGGTACACACATTAGTAAATGATTTCATGTGTTTTTCCATTTCTCTATAGCTATTCGACCTGTGATAGGAAGTTGTTTAAAATACTAGAATAATGAAATTTACTTGGAACACTCTAGAGAAGCAATTTAGCCAAAAAAAAAGGAACACTCTAGAAAAGCAGAAATGCATTTTACCATATGTAAGCATACTATAATTTATGAAATATGTTTGGTTATAGTATGGCAAAATAAGCGGATATCTATCTAAGATAAAACGACCGTAAAGTAAGTGAATATTCAAATTATGATTTTCTAATGATTATTGGTTCATTAGCTTAAAATATATAGGAAACAAACTCTCAATATACTACGTTTGATTTTCGAAATACCACCAAAATCTAAAAACTTCAAAATACTTCAGATTATCAATTTACAAAAGAACTAAATTTACCAAGGGTATTTAATTCAGTTAGCAACTCTTTTTGAAGTTTCAAAGACTGTTCTTTTTCCTTTTTTTAAAGACTGTTCTTAGATCTAAAGTTTGTGTATTTTTGGAATTTTTCAAAGATGTGATATTTTTGAAAAATAAAATTTACGCTTTATAGTTTTCTAATGAGATTTGACCTATATATCAGTTTTATATAAAACAAATGGGTTGGTAACATTTTATATAGAGCGGCTGCATGTCTCTAAATTTAGTCAACTATTTGGATCAAGTTTTTTCGTATTAATTAACATTGGCCGGTTTTAAAGTAGTGGCCGGTTTAAAGTGATTGAAATAAGGGTGGTGGTGGACCAAAATAGACAGAGGAGCTTCAAAATTCAAAAAAGGATAGAACATAAAGATGAGATTAGACTAGAGTGACAAGATAACAAATGGATACGAACAAAAAATAAGGAGGGACAAGTGTGAGCTGTAATCAATGTGTATGGGTGACAGACCGGCCAAAATATGAGGTGGTTGCATGTGACATGATCTTTTTTCCTAGTGAAATTATCAGATTTTGTAGATGTGACTCGTTTATGATTATATTCCATTTCACAATGTTTAATTGGGTCCATCCACTATTTACTTACCCCTGCCATAAACTTTCTTCATCATATCATTATTCACTTTGTACATTCGTGCTCTTACTGAAACCAAATGCTACATAGATATATTTGTTGTCTGACAGTCAACAATTTCAAACATCATTTTTGCATTAAACTCCCTATTTATTAAATTGATCCAAATAGGTTAGTTTGAGGAGATAACCCATGGAAAGATCTTAGTGTTTACATGGAAAAAATAGAAAATTGCGTGCGAATTTTTTTGACAAGGGATCCGTCTGGCTATTTCAAAACATCATTTAAAATACACCATTTGTAGCAAATTTGACATTCATTTATGTAAGTTTACACAATTTGTAAGAATATATGATAAACGTAAATATTTTAGTAATAAAGTACAAAAGGTTGTTAAGTCTATTAGATTATACGTTAGCGATGTATGCATCCACTTCTAAACTTCCTTAGAATGACTAGAAATAAAAATTTCAAATCCAATCAAATTCTATGTTATGTTGAGATGGGATATATATGTGTTGTTTTGCGTCTATATACACTTTTCTTAAACTCTTATATCTCTTGCTAATTCAAGAAACTGAATACATCTTTGATTACAAGGTACTTTACTGCCACCATACCAAATACGCCAAGAGTCGTTTAGATGGGATAATTATTCTCATAATTAACTATATCTGTACATGAGCTTAGTTAGTTGAATGATAACACACGTTGTTAGCTTATCTATAACTATATAATACTATATAACCAACAATGGTTTTGTGATTGGTTGTAGGCCGGTGGAATAAAACGAATCTTAAGAGTTTAATAAACTTTATATTCGTTGTCTTGCTTCCATGCCCAAGAATCTTTCCAGTTTTAGATCTGTTTCCTTGATTATTAGCTCATTACTAATGAATAGTCTCTAATAAAGATGCATTTAACCTTATATAACCAACCATGTTTTCGACGAACATGTTCAATACATGTATTTATTTATTATGAACCCTTCAACACGATCATTAGCTCATTACTAATCAACAGCCTTTTAAAAGTACAAGAGGGCTGCTTTAAAAAGAAAGGTATAAGACCATTTTGGCGGAATATACTGAAGCAAGACCAAAACAAACCAAACCGGAGATAGTTATTTGGTTAACGCAATAGGACCCGTAATACTTTACAGTTTGATTCACTTCTCGAAATTGTAAGAGTTCATACAATGCAGCACACAACAACATACTAATTTATTAAGTCATAAAGAACAAATAGCATAAACATAGGGACTCAAACCTTCGAAGAAAGCTTTGATATTTTTGACTGTGGCCGGTTCAGTGTTTCTTCTCAGGCTCTGATCGTATCAAAGCACAGCATCGGTATTAACTGGTCTGGTCAGCCACGAAATGCAGTGAGAGATGAGCTTCTTGGATCAGATACTCTCCACAGTCTCCGCCTACGGTTTTACTCATCACTACTAAACCCGTAACTTCAAGGAATTAATACCAGGGATGTGGCAGGCTAGTTGGTTTAAGCGCAGACGTTGGTGCTGTTTCGCTCGTAGATTCGATCCCCCGTAGGAGTAATATTTTACGCCATGGACCTTGTCCCTATAGTATCAGTGCTCGCCGGGTCCCGGACCTGGGGGATTATGGGTCTTTGTCCTCCAGATAATCAAAAAAAAAACTTCAAAGAATTAATATATATATATATACCATGTACTTTAAAAGTTTACTACTTTACTGTTATGATACTGAAAGTATTGTCATGTCTATAAAAGGATGCATTGGTCAAAACGTATATGCAAACTGCTTCTTATCTCTTCTGCTTCCTTGTTATAACAAGATTTGATGATTCACAGAAATCAATAGAGAAAATATTAATAATATTGAAGTTATTTTATTCAAGTATAGCAAACCATATTATATATGATGTGTAAATCACAACATAATGTCACGAGCCACAGTTACCAATTGCTATGATTGGTTGGTTTCATACACACACATGTATTACATATTTGACATTACCACTCATCAGAGTCCTGACCAAGAATCTCTGGAGTGGATATTGATCCTTTTCAAGTATCACTTAATGTGGAAAAGGTAGTGAACCACAGCAATGGAAGTAGCCGTCCGCGTCATACCAAAACCGTTTTGAGATCTGAGCTTCTCTGATTAGGTATTCACCCCAATCTTTTTCCCCAAACTCTTTGTGTATCTCTCGTGCATCAAATGTATTCGATTTCGTTTCATCCCTTCTGTAGGTTGTATTCATCAGCGTGACATGTAGCTGCAAGAAAAAAAAGGAACAAGCATGAAGGAAAAGCTGAGATCATATTATTCAATCATTGTCCTCTCCTAGTAAACTAGGTTTTCAGTTTCTAACACAATGGAATACTCAAAAGGCAAAAGGGTAAATAATAAGAGTAAACATAAAAGCATTTACCTTCAAGTATAGCTTTGCATCTCTCAAAGCAAATCCAGCATACGCAAATGCATCGATGATAATATCTGAATTAGGGAGTTAAAAAATTCGACAGATCTTGTAAACTGAAACTAGTATATAACTTCATATGTCTATCCACAGCTGTGACTATGGTTTTGGATGCCATATATAGACCAAATGAAAACATTTCTAACTATTATAAAATTTAAGAAAAAAAAACTATTACGAAATATTTTGCAATGAAATAATCCCTTATATATTAAAAGAGAAGCATTTTGCATTAAATGTGTTCACATTGAATTTGAGACAATGCTGACGTGTCGCTTCCAGAAAGCTTCTCACAAAAAATATTACCAAATTCAGATTTTATAAGTTTCCATATCACGTGTCTTTACATATAAACTCCGCGAGACAAAGATGACAACGAAATCGAAATTAAAAACATTGAAAAATTATCTTCTCTCTCGACTAAGAATACCACCGTTCAATCTTTTTTGGTTTTTCCAGCAATGGCACTCCTCACCACCGTCGAGAGTGTTGGTGAATTCGTTCTGTCTTGCCGACGTCGTCCCCACTCTCTCAGTTTGAGGCTCATCTGAATGGGATGGAGTCTCGAGGTTTGTATCTTCCTTGCAGTGATAGGGGAAGCTCGACGAGTGCAACCGGGTTGGATCTCTTCAAATCTCTATCCTTGCTTCCTTATATCTCGTGGTTTGTGTTCGAGTCTTTTTGGCATTGATTTTCTTTTTGCAATGATGTGTTTGTTCTCTCCCGGTGTTCTTCATTGTTGTGTACCATTGTTAACTGGTTATGGCTGTGGTGGTTAGTCGTCTCTTTGTGTTTAATGGAGCCTTCTGACGAGTTCACTGAGATGAACTTAGTCTTCTTTGATGTGTTATGTCCGGGTTGTTCTCATGTTCGTTTCATCTCGGATCTTCTCTCTACTTTTGTTTGAAAGATTGTTTGGTGGTTCTTATTGTCAAGCTTCTTCGACGGGCTGGTGGTATACTATCGTTCTGCTCCGTCGCTTCTTGCTAAGTCCAATCCATTCTTGGTTCAAGCTTCTTCGATGTTATACGTCAACCATTATTGTTGTACATTAAATGAACTGCACTTGTGGCTTCACGGAGATCTCTGATTATCTTCGGATAAGGGTTAAGCAAGCGATTCATATTTACCTTTTCTCCTGTCGTTTGTGTTGGCTGTAAAGAAACTCTCTACTTCATGAAATATTCTCAACCGAGGAATAGACCTTTGAAATTGTCTCAGTAGGCAGATTGGTAATGTACGCTTCTATGGAGATATCAAGTAATGTCTCCTTTGGTTACAACTTTGAGAAAGCTGGATTTGAGGAAACTATGTATTAAGGATGTATTAAGGATCTCAAGCTATATCTGTCAGTTTAATTTGATATAACTGTATTAAAGATCTCAAGCTATATTCTTAATACTATGCCATGGAATGGGTCCACAAAAGTCAGTATGTTGGTTGGATCTTTTTCTCATATGGATTGTTGTTTTTTGCTTGTTTGAGCTTTATTTATATCATCTACTGGTGAGTGCCTATGTTTTGAGTTTTTATTTTTGGACCTTTGATCTTCTGAAGTTTGAATAAACAGTGTTAAAAAGAAATTAAAAACGTCATGGAGGAAAGAGTCGTTCAGAAACGAGTCATCCCTCATGGAGGAAAGAGTCATTCAGAAACTACAGAAACGAGTATCCCTCATGGAGGAAAGAGTCGTTCAGAAACTCCGGGAAACACAGACGACGAAACATTGTGAGAAGCTTACTTGTGAAACATTGTCAATCTTCGACGAAACATTGTGAGAAGCTATCGTAAAGTTGGATACATTTACTATCGTAAAGTTCAATTTCTTACTTAATCTTCGACGAAACATTGTGAGAAGCTATCGTAAAGTTGAAACATTGTCAATCTTCGTCTCGCGGAGTGAGAAGCTATTGTAAAGTTCAATTTCTTACTTATAATTCCACTACTTAACTTAACGATTACATTTTTAATTGTGAAATTTGTATTGCAAGTAATTTGTAGTTCTTCCGAACATGGAGATCTCTGTCCTATCTCACCACAGTATTAAATCGGTGGTCTTAGAAAATCTATTCTATTAAAGTAGTCTGCTAGAGAAAGAACGGAAATATAGACAAAAAAAAAGGCTTATAAATTGAAACTTAGACATATTGCATAGATAGAGTTAACACACACATCAGGTAATGATTTATTCATTATCAGTAGCAAATTTCACAAATAGTCTAAGCCTTTTGTAGTAGTAACAATTCTCGCATACTTCGTCATAGTCATCAAGATTGCAGTTTGTCCGTGGCTCAAGGTTTACCATACTAACATAGTACTTTCTCTTCATAGCAACATGGATCTCTTTGAGTGAATTCTTGATTCTTTCCCAGCATTGATTAGAGGTTGATAGGTTTTCCATCCATTTTAGTTTATCCAAGTATCTTTTACATGTTAGATAGCTACCTCGGGCAAGCATTAACAAACCATAAAGATACGTATCATCACCTAGCGTGGTTGGTCAAAACTAGCTAAAACGATGATACGTTCCTAAGAAGCAAATGGCCGATGATAAGTTCCTAAGAAGCAAGTACGTTTGAGTGATAGGCAAGGTAGGAATATATGGTATTAATGTAACACTGGCTCTTTGTAGGGTGTTAAGATTAATGCTACTGTGAAAAAAGATCTGGTTAATCAGTTCTATTCATTTCTTTCACAAGGAAGTTCAAAGATTCTCATCAACTTTTCACTAAACCCTTCTTGTGGGTCGTACCGAACAACCATACATCCATACAGAATTGGTTTTCTGTCGACAACACGCGTGAGGAATTTTGATGATTTGCCCAATGCTCTAACTGGTTTTGAACCAGTTAACTACACGGACATTCTTGATGGTACACTCAGTACAGACTATTTGGTTGGTAAGTTACATAATTTCGGTGCTTTCATTTAATATACGAATGTATAGTCAATGATATAACTCATATATTTTGTCTCAGATGTCATAGGTCAGATTGTTGAGGTGACTCCTATTGAAGTTGTATCAGCTAATGGTAAAGAAACTCATAAACTGACGGTGGAGCTTCGTAATGAAAAGTATGGCTCTCTTTATATTGTATGATTATTCATGATAGTAGACGTGATGACAATGATCTAAGATATACATGTTTGTAAATGATTTTAGGGATGAATGTCTGCCTCTGGTGTTGTGGGGTACCTTTGCAACTGATATAAGTGATGGCATTGAAGAACGTGGTGAGAATTCAATCATTTGTGTAGTGAAGTTTGGGAAAATTAAAGTTTGGAAAGGTATTTAAGCTCATTCCTATTATTCATTTGTTTCAGTATTGAATCTTACATTTTTAATCGTCTTCGCTGATCCCTTATCATTCCATTTTTTAACTGCAGACGACGTAGTGTGTCTAATGCGTATAACGTTTCAGACGTTGAACTGAATCCACTTATGGCTGAAGTAAATGCCTTTGCGTCATTGTAAGTTTACTCACTTTTTATAGTTCGGGTTTATTTTTAATTAGCTTTCATTAACAATGTCTTAATGTTCTATAATTTTGTTGTTTTGACTTCTACAGATTGCCGAAGGATGAACTTGCATTGGCAATTGTTCAAGCTAATCCACTTGCTTTGACTAATGGGGTTGGGGATAAAAATGACATTCTGGTCAACACTCCTCGGAAGACCATATCTCAGTTGTTTGAATCAAATCAGGTTCGTAGCTACTTTTGAAATCTGGTTTAATATAATTTTATTAATTCACGCATAGAATGTGTAAGAGTATACTTGGCCGTAATGTCATTTTCCTTAACCTAGAGACTTACTATAGTGAGGAGGAGTTTTAGCAGTATTTGAGTAGTTTTTTTTAAAATACTTATATAAAACTAAGAGGGGCTAGATGTATAAAATATTTTGATTGAATTATAATTTCACATTCATTCTAAATAAATTACTATATTTTTAAAAAGTATTTGCTATTGCATTATACAAATGGATGCCGAAATTAAGAAAAAATCTATAAAATAATAGTTTAAAAATTAGATAATGGAGGTATTACGAAATTAAATAGTAGAGAAGAGTAAATAAGTGTATTTTATTTGGTTAAAAATATTTAATGAAATATTGTTTAATGAATTATTTATTTATATTTTACAATAAATTTGATTTGATATAAGATAACACTAAATAATTAATTTTAGTCATTGTGTTATTACCATAAAATCAAAATCACAATTTAACCCAAAAAACAATATTTAAAATATAGATATATAATTGGACGATATTAAAATCCGAAACAACCAATCCAAAATAAACTAATATGCAAATAAAACAGATATAATGTCTTCTTATCTTCAAAAATACAACAAATTTAATTATCTCATCCCGCGCAAGGCGCGGCTCTAATCCTAGTACAAAGTTATTTTGTAGAATAAAAGTTCTATAGAATTTTTTTCTCAAAAATACTTCTTTTTATTTTGTTAGTTTGTATAAAAACCTATAGCACACCAAAATGTTATGTTTGATACAAATAATATTTACTACTATTTCTCAATCGCAAATTGTTATATTACAATTTTAGAATGAAGAACATATAAATATTTGTGTAAGGATATTAAAAGTGATGTCGTTTCAGAAAATGATCTGTATCATAACATTTCATAACATATAGACAATAACATCTTCAGAAGAAATACAACAATCAAAATTTAAAAATACAACTAAATGTAGACATAATATACTTGATTACTTCTTAGAATTAAGTTGTAACTGTAGAAACAAAATCTTATAAATATTAGTAGTAATTTCAGTTGAAGTTAAAAAAACTATATAAGCAAATAGTTATCAAATAGACTATACAAAACAATGGTTTAATAAATATGCTCTATCTATAAATTTTGCCTTAAATGAAACGATACTATTTAAGCCAATACTTTATAAACTCTTTTACTAAGCACGACTCTATCTTAAACCAAAGAGACAAGAATAATAATAAGGTCTTAGAGATATTAGGATGCGACAAGCCGTTAGCAGCCGGCCTTCATCCCCAACTTCTTCAACAGGTGCATAGAGGACGCGGGTTTTGTCTAGAGATCCATTCATAGAATTCTTAACAAGAGAAAAACATACAAAAGCATACCATTGGGTATTAAGTCAAAGTTTATGTTTCAAGCCACTAGAAATGAAATATTGTAGTAACGTAAAGCCAAAGATGTTCCATCTTACCAATCCTTTAAGTCGTATGAAGACAGGACGATTATCCAAAGCATGCATCACACTAGCTGAGATACTCTTCATTTTCAAGCAAAAAAAGATAAAGACCTCAATCTTTAAATCAATCCTATAAAGTTGCAAACAATTTCCCTTAACTCACTGGAAACAAACTCTACCTTAAGGATATCCAGAGCTGCATCCACAGCTTCCTTGTTTTCTAACCTTAACATAACCACAGTTAAGTGTAAACTACTTGGAGAAATAAACATCCTGTTTTCGATTCCCATTTCTGTTTAATGTCAAAGATGGCATGTCATGTCATGAAAACAATTTTTATATTAAACCCTAATAATTTGTTTATTTTTGTTTTGTTTGATCTTACCATCCAAAGTGCTCTGAAACTTCAGAGGCTTCTTATCTTTATTGTCACCCAATATAGAATTCCGAAAAGTCTTAACCTTCTCTTGCAGCTCAGGGTATATGGCTAATGGAATTGATATAAAGTGTGTAAACAGTTCTCTATAACCTTGTACAATCTACCAACCATTTCAAGATTTCAATGATCAGAGTAAGTAGGAAAAAAGAATCAAGAATTGGGGTTTAAGCTAATGATGAAGAATCTCAGAAACAGATCAGCAAACCTGTTTGCCTATGGAGACATGATGCGGACTGGGATGAGCCGTGGAAGATCCCCCGCGATTCTCTAGTGAAAAACTCTGCTCGAAGAAATCTGTTTTCACATGATTATCATCCGATCACACATAATACAACAACATAAGCATAATCCAAGAACACTAGCGAAGAATGAAGCAAGAGAAAGAGATTTTACCCATAGAACGAGCTGGGATTTTGCCGCGTCTAAGACTTTTGGTTTCACGTCAAGAGCCCTGTTTTTAAACATATAAAATGAGACTTGTTCGATGACCCCACCAACCCATATTGTGATATAAGGCTTTTCCACTAAGTTTCATTGAAACTCTATAAAAGTTTCTATAAATTATTACTCAAAATTAATTAAAAAAAAAATTAATTTAAAAAAATTGTTCTAAGTTGGATCATTACAAAATAAGATACCTAGTATTTGAATTCCAATACGCAAAATCAGAATCTCCAAAGTAGAACAGCAAACCTGCTTGTCTGTGCCTCCAGGCGAGATAAGTGAGATGAGGAGTGGAAATTTATCCCCCCATTCACAGAGCCTGATTAAGATTTTTTGGGCCCTGAACAAATGTTGATACCTTTTGTCGAAAATTATAGTTCTTTATATTTTTTTTGTATGAAATTCTTTCTAATAAATTTAGTTTTGAAAATATATAAAATTAAATTTTGTTAAGATAAATATTTTTTTTTGTTTTCCCAACGTTATTTTTCAGAAATCCTCTCTATTAATTATTTGAAAACTTGACCTCTTAATATTATTAGGTTTCGGGACTGTCGAATTATCTTCGTTCACCTATTTAACCTGACCCTACCGATTCAGAAGTGATGAAATTCGTTGCAAAAGTGTTTGAACGACTCTAATTTTAAATGATGCTGAGTAGATCACACACAGGACACAAGCATAATCCAAATCAGAACCCGAAAACTCTAGGAAAATCAATCAAAGAAATTTTACCGACGTTTAAGACTTTTTAGTTTCATGTTAAATCTTGTTTTTAAACATATAAATTAGACTTGGTCAAGGACCAGTAATTTGTGGAAATTACGTAATACTTGACTTCTTTGCACGTTCCAAACAAACTAAACCTCACTTAATCCTCCCTACTAGGGAATATAGGGAAATTTGTAAATATGGAGCAAAAATACAACTACATTGCCCCTATGCTATAAATCCAATTATAAGTTGTCATCATACCATAATATATTGTGATAACCCAATTAAACCCCTATCATCAATTTAATTTTGTTTTAATTAATTCAATTATTAAAAATTGAAAAGATTAAATTTACAACGTTAAAAAATAGAAAAAAATAACAATACTCATTTACGCTCAAATTGGGTATCCCAAGAACCCTAATTCAAAATTTATCTTCTTTTTTTTTATGAGAGAAAAACATAGCGAAGTCATGGCAATTGATTTCGACGGTGCTAATTAAATGTACTGATTAACTCAAGCTTGGCATCATTTTCGTCAATTTTAAAATCCTTAAAAGCCATAATCCTTAGATCTTCTAAAGAATTTGTCAATTTTATAACCAGTACTCTGCCTTGTCAATTCAAAAGAACTTTGTCAATTCCATAACCAGATCTTCAAAAGTACCATCCTTTAAGAGAATCAAATTTTCATACCCTACAATAGGCATAAATATGCATCTTCTTCAACAAGAGATTCAATTTTTTTGAATGGTTTCAAAATTAACTTGTGAAGAACGTGTGATGAACAAGGAAGAACACGTTTTAAAAAAAAATACTTTAGGAAACACAAAAATTTGGAAAATAAAGAATTATAATATATTCTCTTAACAGATTTTGGAAAAATTTAGTGAATATTTACATTACGAATTTGGCAGAACATGCATTCTACTACTTGTAGAATATAGATTAGATGGTAGATTGTGTGTTATTTATTTCAATATTCATAATAACTTTAATTGATAATTTTATTTATTTGTAATAAATAATTTTAGATGAGATTTTGTTTAATTTTCATCTTTTCATGATTTTAGGTAATTTTGATTATTTGTCACTGTTTATTGCATATTTATGTTATTTTCCATAATCTTAGGTAATTTATTTATTTTCTTATGTTTAAATAATTTTAATATTGCTTGGTTGTTATTCTCTTCATATTTAAATTATTAATTTATTTTCATATTATTCATAATTTAATTGATAAATTTATTTCTTTTTCATAAATAATTTTGGATGATAATTTTAGTTTTATTTACTTATCATGTTCTCTATGGTTTTAGGAAATTTCTTGATTTTTATATTTAACAATTTTAAGTTTTTATATTCTCCAAAATTTAAATGATTTATTTATTATTCATATTCTAAATAATTTTAATTGAATATTTTTTATTTGTAATTAATAATTTTAGATGAGATTTACTTTTCAACTTTTTCATGATTTATTTATTTTTCATAAATAATTTTGGATAAATTATTTATGAAATTTATTTATTTTCATAAATAAATTTGGATGATAATTTTAGTTTTGTTTACATATCATGTTCTCTATGATTTTACGAATTTTTTTTATTTTTGTATTTTAACAATTTTACTTTTTTATATTCTACACAATTTAAATTATTTATTTATTATTCATATTTTAATAATTTTAATTGATAATTATATTTATTTGTAATAAATAATTTTAGGTGAGATTTTTATTACTTTTCATATTTTTATGATTTTAGGTAATTTTGATTATTAGTCAATTTTATTGCTTATTTATGTTATTTTCCATAATCTTAAGTCATTTATTTATTTGTTATGTTTTAATAATCTATACTATTATTTGAGAAGTCATTTTGCTTACTTCTCATCTTCTTCATGATTTTAAGTAATTTGGTTATTTGTTATTGTTTATTATTTATTTGTCTTATTTTCATAATTTTAGGTAAGTTTGCTTATTTATCATTGTTTATATATGTTATTTTCCATAATATTATGTTTATTTATTATGTTTTTAATAATTTTAATATTTGTTTGGTTGTTATGCTCTTCATATTTAAATTATTAATTATTTGTCATATTCTTCATATTTTTAATTGAAAATTTTATTTATTTTTCATAAATAATTTTAGGTGATAATTTTAGCTTTATTTACTTATCATGTTCTCTATGATTTTAGGAAATTTCTTTATTTTTATATTTTAACATTTTGTATTTTTTATTTGTTATATTCTCCACAATTTAAATTTATTTGTTTATTATTCATATTCTTAAAAATTTTAATTGATAATTTTTTATTTATAGTAAATAATTTTTGATGAGATTTTTATTTTCATATAAAATATCAAAATATAATTTAAAATATTTAACCATTTTATAAATTAATAATTATGATATATAATACAATTAATATTTCACAATTTGAAATCCTTAAGTAATTAAATATCTAGTTTGAAGAAAATTTAAACTTTAAAATAAACCAAAAAGTAAAACATCAAATTGTAATACACGGTTTATGACAAAAATAAATTAATTCTAAATCATGTTAACTAATATTGGTTCTTTCGATCATCGTTACTTTACTTTATTCAAGTGACATAGTAAAATCTTCATCAAAATCTAAAAATCAAAAATAAAATATTATTTGATATTGTATATGATAAAAATCAGAATGTTCAATCAAGGTAATATGGTTTTCAATTGATAGAGGAACCATTTCGTTTTTGTTTTTTTTGGTACCATAACTTCCTTTGTGTTTCTTTAAGGAGTTCTTTCTGTGATCTTAGAGCTGACTACTTAGACACTTGAAATTTAAGAAGAAGAGGTGAAGTAGGTTTGTGAAATATATGCATTTTAGATATTGCAGCGCTTATGGCATTAAAGATTTGTTTTTTTTAATCTATGTTGCAGCTAACTCATGATTTCCTACATTGTATCTAGATGCTATGGTCAAAGTATTTAGTGCCTGTTCAGAGAAAATGATACTGAAGTATGAGAAACTCTTACGAGAGAAACAAATCAAGTGGAGGGGACACAATCAAGTTGGATTTTGAAGCAAAATACATAGGTCATTAACTATTTGTTGAGCAAGGCTTACAAGAAGAGCATGCAACATTTTTCTTTTTTTTTTCTAATTTCTCATCTAATAATATCATTTATTGGCATGCTCCCTCCAAAGATGCTGGCCTAAGTATATGGTTCACATATTTCTCCTGATCAAACTGAGAGGTTTGCAGAAATTACTAAAACAAAATACTTCTTACCAGGCAATTGAACAAGTATATGCCGTAAATGTAGTTTCTTATTTTAAGCTATAGAGGTTAAGTGAATAATGCGTGTACATTAACATCCTTCACTTGATCAATTGCGTAGCATCAAAGTTGTTTTTTCTTGCAGAGTGCACACTCAATATTGAGCTCAAGATTAAAGAAGTCGTAGAAACCAGTTCGAATATAGGGAAACATGGATATTAGTTTATATTGAAACGAGGATATACAGCCATGCTTTGTAGTCAGAATATGAGTCAGAAATAATATGCATTTTTCCCTACAACTCCACTATTTATGTGATTATAGATCACCTTTTGCATAATTTTACATCTGTCACAAATTGACTATACGAGTTCCCTACCCTAAAACACATGAAGCTTAGTTTCTATGGAACAAGTGTCTTCTTTTTTCCTGTATACATACTGGACAATTGTTGTTGGTGTATATTCTCTAAATTGTTTCACACTTTGTCACACATACCCACTTTTAAACAGTTTTCTGCCTTATGCAACACCACAAAGAAAGAAAGAAGAATCAAGACAAATTATTGGCTTATTTTGGTTTCCAACATAACCACATCCCCACCTTTTACTATATCAGAGGGAGTGTTATGAACCAATTAAGGATGAGCCATAACCATATTATCTAGGCCCAATCCGTATAATCTATATGACGGTTTAGACTTAGCATTTTTTCATATTTGTATTGATTTTGTATTTTCCATTTATCTCTTATGTAATTCCCTATATAAAATACCCTATGTTATGAATAATAGATACACCAATTCATCTATTCTCTGATTAGTTTACAACATAACCCTAAAAAAAAGAAAAAAGAAAAGAGCAAAATAGAGATCTACCGCGGCCAGAGAGATTAGGTTGTTTCTATCTTGTCGTTAACAGAAGTTTCTCTCGGCCAGAAACCATGTCCTATTTGCCGCCGATGTTGGATCCTGATGAATATTGGGATACATTCCGAGGTAAGATCTATTCGACTAGATGTAATAATTATGGTAGTAAAAATAGAGGTCGAGTCTAGTCAAATTTTATATCCCATGATCTGATGATCTATGTAGCACGGGGACGTCTGTTTAGGTGCCGGTTAGGGAATTGTGGAATAAAACTGGGACCTAATACTTGTGTAATTATGTTTTAACTGTCACTGCGTTATGTTGCTTGATTGGGACCACAAAAAAACTTTGACCTAATAATTAATCGGTTATAATTGTTTTGGAAACTTTGCAGCCGAACACACAGGTGTCTTCTGGGACGTCAATAGTTTCCCACTTCCAGATATCCATCCCCACTTGATTTATGAGAATATCAAATTAACCCTTAGCAGTAAAGGTTACACGGGACCCGTGTCTATATGGTTGTATGCATATAGTGAATCCAGGATACGGAATAAGGAGGATTATGAGCTTGCTGGATTCAGATTCTGTTTCGAACCTTACGACACGAGAGATTATAGAATGACAGTGGACATGCTACTATGTGCGCTGGATCATCCAAGTTCAAATCTGATAGTAATCGCACGAAACTTCATAGATGAAGATGCAGTCTTTAATATTCACCTTTTGCACAATAGAAGACTGAATATCTTCTTAGCATACGATCAGGTTGTAGAACCAATAATTCCTACTCAAAACCCACTATGGCTTCTTGAAAGTCTCTGGCAAGCTTCTTTACAACCTTCTTTAGATCAACAACAAGGCGGCGAACATGTTGTTGACAAAAAGCTCAATACCACCATCAGAATCATCAACACCCCCCCAATGCCGACGACCGTAGTTGATCTGGGTAAGCTTTATTTAAATCTATATATTGATTTATCTGATCATAATTCTATGTTTTTTGTTATTTAAATGAAATTATTTACTTGCAGATCGTACTACACATGCCATCTGGAACGCTGTGGATTCTGCAGCACTTGAAGATTTGGATCCTGTAATCTCTGCTGCCAATATCGATGCCTTCTTTATGCTTAAGGGTCTTCCTCCTCCTGATTTCACCAAGGTGTTTGCTGATGAGGATGCCCTCCCTGAACATCTCATCTCTAAATATCTAGGTTCCACTCTCCTTCTCGATATCGTCCCCAAAGGTGAGTGATATATTCTGGAATATTTTGTCAATACTTTTTTTTCTAAATAAAAATAACTAAACCCATTCTTTTCAGGAAATACACGTGTCAGAAATCAGAGAATTGCAACGTTCATTCTTTTCCATGCATTATCTTATCTTTGCGATCCAACAACCTTGCTTGTACTCTCAGAAGACGTTCTGGAAGAAGACCCTCTTCTCAAGACTGTTTATGAATCTTTGCGATTGAAAGGTTTCACTCTTATTTTTGAGCCGCCCAAGTCCATATTAGCGTCTGAGTTACATTTGCATCCCAGCTTACGAAGATGGTTCTGATTGGAGTTTTCATGTTCCTTTCTTCGAAATAATTCATGGTCACTGCCCTTGTGTGTGTTTTTTTTTCTTTTATTTATTTCAATGCAGTTTGAGTACTTGGTCTTGTAAAATATTATATCTTATTGTGCATTATATCTAATAATGGTTACATTATATCTAATAACTAGAGTCGGCCCGCCCTACGGGCGGGATATATTCTATTGTGATTTACGTTACTATTTTTTTGTATGATTTCGTGGTTTATTATTTATGTTTACATTTGCAAGATGCATATGATAATTTTTTTTGTCTTTTTAAAAAGTTTTATGAGAGAAAAAATTACATTTGATAAGATATATTTTGCTTGTCTACAATAATCGTTTCTATATTAAAGAGTTATGAACTTATCACATTGATATGGTGAGAGGGATTCAAATGGTTTTTATGTTATTAAATTAACTCTTATTTTGAATGAAGATCTCTTCCAATAGCAATCAAACCTTCGACATCTTAGATCCTTCAAAGTGTACTGATTTTTTTTTTCAAAGCGGCCTTGAAGGTAAGAAGGTTTCATGCAGTCCTAGGCATTTCAGTTTTTTTTTTTTTTTGGTTTGGTTAATTTGGTTTGTTTTTTATTCTAGAATTATAAAATATTTTTGGTTATTTATAAAATTCAATTTGATTTTGGTTTGGTCATTTTGGTTTGGTTATAAATAGTAATTTTAAGATATGTATTATTTCAAAACCAAATATAACTATTTGTTACGTCTAGAAGTTATATGAGAAATTCCGTATGATAATATTTTTTAGTTTATTTTCATAAAAATAACCTCTAAAATAGAAAATGACTAAAAAGATTTTAGTGAAGGGTAAATATAATCTTATACCCCTAAAGTTAACTAATCATATACCTTTTTATTTAGAGTAAGTGGTGGGTTTGAGAGTAGGGTTTAAAATATTCAAAAATAGGAAATAAATATTAAAAATTGAAAATAGTTAAAAATTATATTTCGAATTTCAAAAATTAAATTAAAAAAAATTCAAAGAACAAATTATGAAAGAAAAAAAACCGGACAGAAAAATTAGAAAAAAGTTTGAATCTACAAACATATAATCCGAAAATATAAATTTTTTTTTTTGTTTATATATTTATTATTTATATATTTATGAAGCAATGAGCACAAAAATCTTTTTCCTTTTTAATGAAATCTCTATTGGTCATTTTCTTTCTTGATAGCTTTTTTGTAACAAAAAATTTAAAATGAGCCATTTGAGAGAATTGTCCAAGTTATATTATCAAAAGTTGGTTACACATTTTGTTTTTAGTTTGGCCTTGCTTCGGTTTTGATTTTCTGGTTTCAGAACACATGCATACCTTTAAGAATTTCGATTATGTTTCTGTTCTATTTTTCTTTACTCAGTATCGTTTGGTTCTTTCATTCTAGGTAAATAAACCAAGGTCTAGTTTAATCTGTGCAGAGACTGGTTGGTGGTTTCCTTTGTTTTATAAGTCGTTTAAGTTTTTTTTTCTTGGGTGCATAAGCCAAAAAAAAAAAAATAAGACTTACATAAAATTTTCAGAATAGTGTAAGTATTCTTCATAAAACGGCTCATGTGGTGTAGTTATGTGTAGCTCATCATAAAATAGATAGTATTACTATTGTTAGTTGTATTATTAATGTAATTTCTTCTCATAATTATAATATCATAATAAATCAGCGTTACATAAAAAAAAAAATTTTTGTAGTACTGATTAATGGCACAATATGGCACGGCCATTTTGATCTTTGATTTAACAGTATTAAATTTAACAATAGGTTTAATCCATCCGCCAGAATAAATTTAACAATAGGTTAATATTATTGTATAGAACCAAGTCAATGTTTGGAGACATAAATAATACAGCCTAAAAAGAGAACAACAAATAATTTAAATGGTACAGTATTTGATGATGCGATGGATTTTCTATTTTGTTATTTGTTTGAGTTATATTATAATTAACATTTAAATATATTTTTATCAGATTCTGTTCAAATATTTTATTTCATTTAAGGTCGTTGCATAGGTATAAAGCAGGTACCTTTGATGCATAAGTAGTCAATGTCTTTGTTTACTATTATGTAAATAGTTCAGTTTTTTCTATTCATTTCTTAATATTTATAGTTTTAATTATTTTGTAATATTTTGAAAATGAATAAAACTATTTTAGTTTGTTTGTGCTAAGTTTCAGTGATTTAATTTAATAAATTTATCTTTATATATATATATATATAATTTTATAATACATAAAATTATATTTAGTATTATAGTTAAAGTATGTTTTCTGAAGAGTTTCAATATTTATAATATTGGTTTAATTTATTTATAGATGAGAAAAAAAGTTTCTATTGTAGCACGAAATTTATGGTAGTGTAAAATAGGTTTTGTAAACAAAATATGAGTGACACCGTTCAACTTCACAATATGATGAGAAAATAATTAAAGATTAATTTTCTATTTTTATGATTTGCATAACACTTTTTATGATTCATGTACTTAATTCTGAATGATGTTAATTAATGTATCATGTGCTTTGATGAATACATTAATGATTTTCATAAGAAATGGCCCTTGATTCATTCATTTGAAAACATCCTTGAGGCAAATCTAGCAATCCATTACTCTCATGACTGAATTCGTTTAGTTCATGAAAATAACCATGACGTTTTTTATGTTTACATTGATACAATAAATAATAGCGACAAAATGGTTTGGAGATTTTCGTGCAAGTGAGACAAAGATATTATTAGGGTCAGAGGTTCAAACCATGTAACATAAACCGATTGTATCATTCTTCAAATCTGAGACAGTGTCTGTATAATTTAAATACTATTATACATGCACCATTAAGAATCCAAATACAATGCGTTTTGTTGATTTACATGATCGTAACTCAACTTCAGGAGGTCGTCGCAGCAACATTATCAAGTTGACCGAAAGTAGCAAATAAGCAAATCAAAAGTAGGACTTTCTTGTGTGAAGAATTTGAAATTGGACTACTTCAACTACGATGTGTAGATTCTGCTGATATGTAGGGCATTGCTCCCAAGGGGTCCTCCACACCTGCTCTTTAAAAAAAAAAAAAACTACTATGATACTGACATATGATGGCGAATTAAGTTTTGACACCATTACTGGTTCTATTTTCTGAACACCTCCATACTTTGAAGAAATTGAGAAACAATTACCATAAGTGTTAGCATAACCTGTGGTGAATAATGTGTATCATGTTTGAGTAGGTGTTTATGATATAAGTGTAACTGATAAATTATTATTTGAGCATCTTACTTACTGATGAAGCATTGACCAGCACCGGTTTCATTGTCAAACTCTGCAAACATATAAACCTGAGCACGAATCAAGTAATAACAGATGATTTTTCCTCCTTGGCATTCATTTTGTTGAGTTAACAACCACTGAGGCCTGTGAAAGCAGCATGATTTTTATTCAAAAAAAGAAAAGAAACTTTATTAAACTTAAAGTTAATACCTTGTAAAGGAACCTCCTCATATCATATCCCACTTTGGCATAATTAATTTGATCTGGTGGAAATGCTTGTTTTGGTCTGCAAGAAAAAAAAAAGACAAATTAAACTTCACATATATGACTGATACAAAATATCACAGATAAAAAGTGAAAGAAGGAAACATAAACCTCAATTTAGAGTTTAATGACACGTTTAAATGAGCACCAACAGATTTTGTTGTTTATAGCCCCTCAGTGTCGTTGGAGAACTTGACAGGAGGTGCAGACACATGTTACACAACCGAACCCAGAACACCACCACCGCCAAGTGATGACCTCCCTCCTCCACCACCAAGATTTCCTTTCGCTGCCATTAATGGCCAAAGATGCGGCTTTGGGGAAAAAATATACTGAGAGAAATTTCTATTGCTATTGGAATGTGATGATGATTTTAAAGGGATAAAGCTTACCTTTTTCATAGGTGGAGATTCACTGCTTGGATGTGGGATAAGAGAAGATGAAGCAATGAAAGTTTTTAATGCCTAAAAGAAGATGAATCGAGAACCAAACAGTATAAACATACAGATTACTGTGGATGATTCATATCTCTGAGATTTTCAGAACCTTCACTAACGTTAAACCTAAACATGAAAACTTGGTAATAAGGATTCAACTCGACGGAAACGTTAAAAAAAAATTGCAAGCTATGAAATCAAACGGAGGAACAGAACAAACCTGTGAATTCAGTAGCAGCATATCTACTCCATGAGTTTGCTACCGCGTCGAAAGTCTCTGGCCTCCCAAAAACGGAGCAACCGCACTTGAGCGGTGGAGGAGAATCATCCGGTCTTCAAATCAGAAAGAAATAATGTTGCTTTAGCCATTTTAATGAAAATAAGACGACTGGTTTGTCTCGTCAGGATGAGGATATGGTTCTAATTGTAAAAAAAGCTTACCCTTTTATAGTCTCAGTTCCAGTGCTTTGAATGTGTGAAGATCCCAATGAAGGTGAAGTGTAGGTGATGGATTTAAGGACTATAAGAGGTTAATCTGTAACTCTTCTGATTGTTTGGAAGAACTGTTTCAAATCTCAGGTTGGGCGTCTCGTGGATTTCGAATGGCGGAGATGAAAGAAGATGTGATTAACCCTACTATCAAACGGTGCGTCTGATCAAGTATGGATAAATAAAGGCCCAAAAAATACGAAGTCCACATGTATGGAGAATATGTTAAATGAAACGCGGAGGTTTGAGTGAAAGTGCCACGTGTAACGCTAAGATGAATAGAATTAGTGACGTGGCTGAACTAAAGGGAATCAACTTTACTTTATATAATTAGATGTATGATTCTGTCTTCTGACCTCTTATTTATCTCAATCTAGTGTGTGAGCGCTTTGTCTACCTCTTCTTTAGGTCCATCATAATCCACTGTGTACCTTCCAGTAATAGCTTCCAACAGAACAACACCAGAGCTGTACACGTCGTTTAGGAGAGCAGAATAATTAGCGTGCTCAGGCGCCACATATCTGAATATTAAACGTAAGAAAAACCAATGTTATAAGTAAGCAATGGAAAATATAAAAAAGGTTAATATAAAGCTACAGTGTTTATAACTCACCCAAATGTACCCCATGACACGAGTACTCACGTAAATATTATCAGCTCCAAGCAATTTAGCAAGACCAAAGTCAGATAACTTGGCGTCAAAGTTATCATCCATCAGTATATTTCCTGATTTGATGTCTCTATGCACCACTTTCGCAAATAACCTCTATTATTATTAGGTTTCGGCCTTCGGGACAGTCGTTCATCTTCATTCACCTATTTAAGCTGGCCCTACCGATTAGAAGTGATGAAATTCTCTGTAAAAGTGTTTGAACGATTCTAATTTTAAATTATGCTGAGTGGATCACACACACACAATACAAGCATAATCCAAATCAGAACCCGAAAACTCTAGGAAAATCAGTCAAAGAGATTTTACCGACGTTTAAGACTTTAGTTTCACGATAAGTCTTGTTTTTAAACATATAAATTAGACTTGGTCAACGACCAGTAATTTGTGGAAACTACGTAATAGTTGGTCTTGACTAATCATATGTGGAGATATTGATCCTTTTCAGTGTCACTTATGTGGAAAAGGTAGTGAGCCACAGCAATGGAAGTAGCCGTTGGAGTCATACCAAAACCTTTTTGAGATCTGAGCTTCTCTGATTAGATATTCACCCCAATCTTTTTTCCCAAACACTTTGTGTATCTCTCGTGCATCAAAAGTCATCCCTTTGCTTTTATCCCTTCTGTAGGTTGCATTCATCATCGTAACATGTAGCTGCCAAATCAAAGGAATAAACATGAAGGAAAAGCTGAGACCACATTACTTCAATCATTCTCTTTGTCCTAGTAAACGATAGATATAAAAAGCATTTACCTTCAAGCGTGACTTTGCATCTTTCCCAGCAAATCCAACATTCACAAATGCGTCCATGATTATATCTAATTAGGGAGTTAAAGAATTCAACAGATCTTGCAAACTGACACTATGATATAGATTCATGTCTCTATTATCAAACAAAGGGACATGAGTAAAAGTAAGCTCTTAGATATATAAGGATGCTACAAGCCCTTAGAAGCCGGCCTTCACCCCCAACTTCCTCAACTGGTGCATAGAGCACACGGGTTTTCTCTAAAGATCCATTCATACAATCCTTAACAAGAGAAAATATACAAAGCAGACCATTGGGGTTTTACATCAAAGTTTATGTTTCAAGCCACTAGAAAAATTGTAGTAATGTAGAAGCCAAGAATGTTACATCTTACCAATCCTTTAAGTCGTATGAAGACAGGTAGGTTATTTAAAGCATGCCTCACACTTGCAGAAACGCTCTTAATTTTCAAAGAGAAAAAAATAAAGACCTCAATCATCAAAGCAATACTATAGAAGATGCATACATGAAACTGATTGGAACCTTAAGGATATCCTGAGCTGCATCCACAGCTTCCTTGCTCTCTAACTTTAACATAACCACAGTCAAGTGTAAACTATTTGGAGAAATAAACATCGATTTTTCGATTCCCATTTCTGCTTAGATGGCATGTCAATGTCATGAAAACAAGTTTTATAATAAAACTTATACTACTAGTTTATTTAGTTTTGTTTTGTTTGGATCTTACCATCTAAAGTGCTCTGAAACTTCAAAGGCTTGTTATCATTACCCAATATAAAATTCCGAAAAGCCTCAACCTTTTCTTTCAGATCAGGGTATATAGCTAATGGAAGTGATATAAAGTGTGTAAACACTTCTCCATGTCCTTGTACAATCTACCGAACATTTCAAGATTTCAATGATCAGAGTAAGAAAAAAAACACAAGAATTTTATTTTTTATATATATCCAGGACCAGAACATTTCTCAACTCTGAAGAAGAAGAATCTACGAGATAGATCAGCAAACCTGCTTGCCCTTGGAAGTACGTGGAATGGGATTAGCAGTTGAAGATCCCCCGCGGTTCTGTAGTGACAAACTCTGCTTTGACGAGTTCTTGAACCAATCTGTTTCACAAGATTCTCATCCGATCACACCCAACACAAACTATACAAGCATAATAAAAAACACTCCAGGAGAATCAGGAAAGAGCGAGAGAGAGAGAGAAGACTTTACCCATAGAACGAGATGAGATTTTGCCGGCATCTAAGACTTTTCAGTTTCACGTTAAAGGTCTTGTTTTAAAGAGACTTGGTCAACGATCCCACCAAAGCCTATCAAACCCACATGAAACTCGTAAATTCTATTTTGAGAAATGAGAAACCACGTTGCTTAGTAAGAATTATGCGACGTATTTCATTGCAACTTAATCCAAAGTTAGGCACTAACTGTAATGTTTAAGCTTTAGGTTAATCATTGATTATACGCATGCGTTTTTCATGCCACCTATGTTATCATACAAGACAAGTTTAAATGTAACTCTCTACCCGGGTTGCGGATTCTCGATGAATATGTGGAGCGTCATGTCCTTATTTGGTCGTATATTTATTTGAACCAAGAAAAATACATTTATCTCTGTTTTTTGTGGTGAAATCTACCAAAAGAATTAACATAATTGTTTGAACCAAGTAGTAAACCGTGTGCAAATTCCATCAGACAGCAGATTTGACCATTCTAGTGGATATCCTATAATAAGAAAAAGATTAGATTTCATAATATACTGCATATCTTAATATTTAATGCGAAAGTATATTAATTTATTTTCTTTAAATTTATAGAAATTTATTTTCATTACTAAATCAAAAACCAATAATTGAACATTTTTAATATGGTCATTCTTGATCATTATTGTATTATTTATAATTATTGTTTCGTAAATTATGTCTTTATTAAATTAAATAATATTGTTATTTTAGTTTATGTGTATACTCTTTCGATAATAACTCAATTTTTTTAATATACTGATTATGTTTATGTTTAATGTACAATAATATGTGCTATTTTGTTTAAAGTTACAGAAATATTTTATGTAAACTTATTTTTGACTACAGTAACTAAATATACATTACGAATAACTGTAAATAATCTCACATTTTAAATACAGTTAAATTTTGCTTATTTTACTGAAATTAAGTACTATTGTATATTGTGCTTAATATCATAAACTATTTAAATTATTTATTGTTGTTTTAAATAGATGTAAAAGTGACTATTTTAAATACACTTAAATGTAAGTCCTTATCTTTAATTTGCTTGCATTATAAAAGAAGAGAAAAAAGAAAATACTTAAATTACATAATACTTAAAAAGATTTAATGGAAAGAGTAGTAGCGATGAGCAACAACAGCAACAACGGCCAATCACCGTGGCACTCTCACTCACCCAAAACTCCAACGACCATGCTCGATCGCGCTCTCTCCTTCCGCCGTCCCCACTCCGACGCCGATCTCTCTTATTCCGGCGAATCGGGAACCGACGAATCAAAAACCAAGCGTCCGCACATCTACCTCCTCGCCTCCAATTTCGTTTCTCGGATCGGGCACCAGTGGTGGCCTTGCCTCGCCATCGCTCTCTTCTTCCTCGCGCTCCTCTTCCTCATCTCCTTCGCGTTTCGTTCCACGAGCTTCGTCTGCATCTCGAGGTTCGATCCGGTGGCTCGGATCGGGTTTTTCAGGTTGGATGGGCTTGAATCGGATTTTGGTGCCTTAGGTGTTCCTTGGTGTAAGCACGCCAGATCTCTGTTGTTTTATAATGGTTTTGTTTTATCTGCGTGTGATTCGTTGTGGATTTGGTTAGAATTGATTTTGGTGAGATTTGGTTTAGGTTGCAAGTGTTAGCTGTTCACGAATAAAGATGAATTGGTTTTGGTGTTGTAGTGGCTAGTGGTTAATCTCTATGGATAGTGATGGTTGTGCCAAATGTTATTCCTAGTGTTAGAGCATCATTATTGCAGGTTTCTTAGGGCGGGTTTTAGAGGGAAATATAAGAAACAAAGTTCTTAGGAAAATATAAGAAACTGTTTCTCAGGAAAATATAAGAAACAGTTTCTCAAGGAAATATAAGAAGTTGTTTCTTATATTTCCCTAAGAAACCCGCTTTAAGAAACCTGCAATAATGATGCTCTTAGCATAAGGTCAAAGACACTCATTCAGAAAGAGACTTCACAATGGTCGTCAGGGATGTCCGTTGTGAAGTCTCTTTTTTTTTAGTGTCTTTAGCTTAATGCTAATACCTAATGTTTACTTTAAATCTTTGTGCAGCAGTAAAGTACTTTGACATAGTTGGGTTTCTTTTAAGGTTGTAAATAAAGATATTTGTCTCAATCGAGTTTTCTTTAATTTTTTAGCATTCTTGAAAGTTTAGTTCGCCGCGTTTCACAGCATGGAACAGTAGAGAAGAACCATTAAAATGATCTGTGTTCAATGATCTAATACAAATTTTGTTATGAGTTTTATATTCTGAGGTAGTGATGTTCTTCTTCTTCTTATCAATCTCCATGTTGATTTAGTTGAAGAGGAGGACCTTGAGGTTGTTATTATGGAAGATATTGCTAGCTATTATCAAAGAGATTGATTTGTTATGACATGTACGTATTTAATTCTTTTCCCTTGGCAAAAGGCAGATCGAAACATGGAAAAGAAGTTGAGTGGACCTCCAAGGATCTACTCAAGGCTCTTGAAGAGTTTGTGCCCATATACGAAACACGTCCCATAAAGAACAACATGCATGGGATGGGTTTTGATCACAGCTTTGGGCTATGGTTCATGGCACGTTGGTTAAAGCCAGAGCTAATGATTGAGAGTGGTGCTTTTAAGGGACATTCCACTTGGGTTATGCGCCAGGCTATGCCAGATACACCGATTATCTCACTAACGCCTAGACACCCCGAGAAGTACCTGAAGAAAGGACCTGCTTATGTAGATGGAAACTGCACGTACTTTGCAGGCAAAGATTTTGTTGATTTTGGAAGTGTTGATTGGAAAAACGTGTTGAGAAAACACAGAGTAACTGATCTCAGCCGCGTTGTTGTCTTCTTCGATGATCATCAGAATGAACTCAAAAGGTATTTCCATCTCTTACCCTTATTGCATTAGCAAAGAGTTAACTGTTTATTTTTTCCTGATATGCTACCAA